TGACCTAATAGGTATTTGCCATCTCTTATTTCTGGGACTCTGATCCAAGAACAAACAGCAAGAGGACCATGAAAAATCAGCCCTGTTGGATCTGGAGTTCTGCCTTGACAAGATATAAAGCTCATTCATAGATCTGACTGTGCTCATGAGACTGCAGTTCAACTCCTGCTGCTAGAGCAAGGGGAGGGGGAAGGAAGATAGAAAGGGGTGAGTGGGAAGGAGGTGGAAGATCTGGGTTGTGACTATAATAGCTACAGTAATTAGAGTGTTTCCAAGCTGCTGGAGAAGTCTTCAGAGCAGGGAACTAGGATGAGAGATGGGGGAAGGGAAAAAGCATGAGGAAGCAAACTACTGAAAATGCTAGGAAAGTATATGGTGGTTTATGAACAGTTTAAAACAAACAAACAACTGTGACGGCTTCATATAGGCAAATAGAGAAGTTTAAGTTCTTTCCCAGAAGAGAATACTATACAATAACTGTTAGGCTCCCACTTAAAGCTAGGTTACAAACTAGGTTTAAGCAGATGATTGCAAATGTCACTGTCTTTCAGTGGTCCACTGGCCCTGTCTCAGGGTCATAATGTTGCCTCCCTTTCCTCTAAATCAATCAATTGATCTATGTATCTAAATCTTTCTGGCAAATAGGTCATAGCTTTCACTCCACTTGGAAAAGGGATTTCTGAACTTCAAAAACAGTTAACATCACATATTTTCCTTCAATCAACTGTTAATTAATACCTGGTGAATTCAATGAGAGAGAGAAAGAAAAAGATGGAGATTCAGTATGAGTACACAGCCTGTTGACCTAACACAGAAAATGACTGGAAGGCATTAAAAAGTCAGAACATAAATACCCAAGTTACTACTTGCTTATACATTTTAGGTTGTATGGCACTGCCTACTAGAGTGGCATGAAGATGTGAAAGAAAAATATTAATGGAAGATGATGATAATAACCTAGAAGAAAAACCAGGGAATATGCAAAAAGCCTAAAAATAGAAAGTCCTCTTCCAAGTTAGAGGAAATGCTATACTTGTTTTTAAGATAAATATGTAGCTGAGGTATTTCCTTAACGTGATTTGGCCCTGGGTGATTTGATCCTAACAAGTGATGTTAATCTCAATGCCAGAGGAAAGAATTATAAAGGTACTGGGAAAAACTAAAATGGAACAGGACAACTGAAGAGATGCAAACTTCATGTGGAGATTTACATTCACAAAATAAAAACACATGCAAATTTCTTGAGTGAGGCATGTCAGGTGGACCCACACAAAGTCAATTATATCCTTTGCATAAAACCTGCTGGGTATCCTCCCAGTGGACTAAATCTTTTTCACCACACTGAAAGCAAAGAATTTTCTCCTTCCCATTTCCCTCTAATAAACAAGCACTAGAAAACTGAATTACCACTATTTCCTTCCCATTCATAGGGCATAAAGCCAGAAATCACAGAAATACAATAGGGCCGGCTAGGACCATGTCTAAGGCATGCTATTCAGTAATCTAAAAAGAAACACAGAGAAAGAAGAATCTCTTCTCTTTTCCATTATCATCTCACTAACAAACCTGTATCAGGCATTAAGAAATGTGAAACAAAGAGCAATTTCACACATACGAACTGAACCTAAACCACGGAAGACCCAGTATTTTCTTGTCACTGTGGCATGTGATTCTTTAACCACCTGCTCAATAATCCCTCTTCAGCTGCACAGCTGCTGCCAATTCCACAAGCCCAGCTAGGCAGGTGCTTCAGTGAATTACCTGTTCCCTAGTGAAAAGAGTCCTTCACTGACACTTAGTGGGCCCAGAACCTGCCAATCAGCATCACCGATCTTCATTTTTGTCTGCCACAGCCAACTTTTATGAGAGATGTCACGAAGGCATATTTAGCACACTATGTGATTTTGTATTTGGTGGGGTTTTATTCTTGTTGTTGTCCTTTGTTTTATAAGGAAACGGATTTTTCAAAATCAAGCAGAAGTGAGAACTCAGCTGCTGAAAAGAAAACTTGCCACACAACATAAGGCTGCCTCATCTCAGAGTGGCCCCATCTGTCTGGCAGTATTCCCACCCATGACTAGTTTTCCACAAGGGAAATAACAATTGCTCAGCTACCTTTGTAGCAGAAGAAAGTGGCAGTGGAAAGTGCTATGGTACCTGGCAGTAATGAGAGGGAGAACTTCTGGAGCTCACACATCATCCCTGTACTTCTTAAGTCTCCACGGCTAAGCCCAGACAGTAGCGTTCCGAGTCAAATAAATAAGGAGTGGCACTTCTACTCGACAGAGCAATCACTAAACCCCTCAACAAATTATCCTGTTCCAGTCGTTTAGTTGCTATATGCTAATTGCAACATAATTACTACCAGGAGCCAAAATTATGCTCCTATGTCCTCACACAAAATAAGCACTAATCTGCCCAGCCATCTAGATCTCTCACAAGAAAAACATTTTCTACGAAGAAAACCAAAGTGCTCTCTGCAAGATGGTCACAACCAGAAGACTCATAAAGACCCCTTGTGCCAAGGGCCCAACTCTGAAACCACTACATCTAATCAGGGCAAATTTAACATGAGGCTTCTGCCTTCACTGTCACCTGACAGGATTCAAAATGAAGGTCCACAACCCACGAGCAAAATGCTTGGGACTCTGTTTAGCTGAGACTTCAGAGGCTGAGGACAGATTGTTGGAAATAGCCTAAAGACAGACAACACCTCTAGCTAAGACTTTAATAAGAGTTTTGACATCAAGAACATGTTCCCTCCCAACAAAGCCCAACACCTAAGTGGCAAGTCATCATTTTCAGAAACTCACTGAAATAAAGGAATGAGGGAGACAACACAGTCACACTCAGCACCTCAGAAAGACCTCTCCCCAAACCAAAGGGTAAAATTCCTATTCAAGAATACCTACAGGATATAGGTGGCTATTGTGTACACAGTGCATTGTGTATAACTGCCCTCTCACAACTAATCTGCTTTCCAATCTCTTCTTAAAGAAAAGTTTTCTTTAATATTCTAAAAGGAAACCTCCTTTCTAATCCCAAATGATTTCTTACCCAACTAATAGTACCTAAATACTACCTGGGCATTTCTAGGAGATATTTACAAGGCTGGGGTTTCTTCTAGCTCATTCTCATCCTTCTCTCATTAATTACCCCCAAGACCTCAAACGATTTTTATGTTCATCACTTTGACCAATTTCTCCCTAATGCAAAGGCAGATATGGCCTTTCTGCATAATGAGCACGTCACCTCTTTTCATCAGAATTAAAATAAAGATTAAAAGGAAAGTTTTGTTTCCACAGCCCCTGCCCAAATAGGCAAATTCTGTGGCTTTTGTGTTGTGCAATTATTACTGACCAGGAAGTCACCATTAAACAGGTACTTGGTCCTTGACTTCCTGTCTTAACCTTGCAAAGGTTTTTAGTGGTGTTCCTAAACAAACAAAAATCATTGTTGAGTGTCCCATCTCTATAAAAAGAATTAAATATGATGGTTCAAACAAGAGTGAAAACCTCCACTTGGAGTCTTCTTCCTTAAAGGTCTGACACAAACATGGGGATTAAGTCTCCCAGACACTATTCCTTCACAACTTAGTACAGGCTAGCCAAAGAGGCAGGCACAACATGGCTGGCATCCCCTATTCTTCTGAAAAATGTGTGCCAATGAGCTCTGCATTGTTCCTCACTCAAAAAGAAGAGCCTTTCTGTCTGGCCTCCTCCAATGGCAAGCCCCAGTCTGGAAAAGGAAGAAAATGGCACTGAGAAGCCTGGGAGATGGAGCATATCCAAAGCTCTCAGACAAGACTTGAACCTATGACCTTCACTGTGTACACAATAGGCGGGTGAGAGGGACCGGTTTATCTCTGCAGCAGCAGTTCTCAGCCCTGGGGTAGCACTCCCGATAAAATGACACAGACTATTGTGTGTGGCAGCAGAACAGTCATCTCCTCACAACAGCCTAAACCAGCACTCCCTCCCCCAAGACAAAGCAGCAGGGGTGAAATTAACTCAAGGCTGCAGAGCAAAGCCTAGTACAGAAAAGAGAGGCTTGTGGGGGATTGGGGACTCTCCTCAACCCCTGGGGCTCTGGACACATGGCTGGAAACAGACAGGCTTTCTCCCCCATCTTTCCCACTCTCATTTAGGTAGGAAGCTGTTTCTTAGAGAATTTAATCATCTGTGATTTGTTCAGAAATATTCCCCCTGAAGGGCTCTGATCTCTCCACCCTGTGTGAGCCTAATTCCTAGAAGCTGAAATGACTGTTTGCTGCTGCCTGTTTCACAAACACACATTAATTGGTCAGATGTGTCTCCTCCTCCTCAACCCCGGAGGGAGGAAGAAGAATCTGAGCAAAGCACAGAGATGATCCAACCGTAATTACACATAAAGGGAAAAGAGGGCAGCATGGGTTTTTCCAAACAGGACAGGGTCACAAATCCTCCCGGGGGTACATGGAGAGCAGTTAAGGGCCAGGCCCAGGGATCCCTCCATCTTGAAGAAAAGGACAGGAGTAAATGTGACCTGAGACTGGAAGGAGCACACACCCACAACCTACTTACTGCACACTCCCAGCCACCTTGCTCCCCCCCCTCAGGGCCGCGCACACGTCTAGCTTCCAACCCTTCGCCCTGAACCCCCCTAACTCTGACTAGCCCCAGCCGCCCTGCGCCCCCTCGAGATACCCAGACTCGCCTCTGAAACTCTCTGGCCTGTCCCCACAACCTGGTCAGACCCTAATCCCTTCTTGGGCAACCCTACCCTCAGGTTGAACCGACCCCGGCCACGCTTTGAACTTCACCCCGCGCCCCTCGACGCCCCCTCCCCCACCCACGCAACGACCCCCCCCAACACACCTTCCCCTCGCTCCGCCCCAGCCCCCCAACCCCCACTTCCTCCGTCAGGCGCCGCTGCCCCCGGCCCCCTCAGCCCCGGCCCCCCTCAGCGCCGCGGCCTCTCTCCTCCCCCAGCCCCGGCTCCACACAAAGCTCCGGACTCACCGCGCGGCCGGTCCCGGGAGCCGCCACCTCCGCCCGCCCGGGGCCCCGGGCCGTAGAGCCGCCGCAGCTACGGGGCCCAGGCCGCCATCCGTTCCCGCGGCCCCTCCCCCCCACCCCACCCCGCCTTGGCTCCGGCTCTCCGCCCCCTCCCCGCGCCGCTCCGCCCCGCCCGGCCGGTGCCGCTGTGTCCGGGGCCGCGGGTCCCTCAGCCGCCACCGCCGCCGCCGCCGCCGCCGCGATCCGGGACAACCAGGGCCGCCCCGAAGACCCGGACACTGGACTACCGGGTCCTCGGATCCGGATTCCGGGCTGCTGTGGAGTCTGGAGCGGGAGAGCGCCGGGGAAACCCGGAACCTGGATGAAAGAGCCAAATCCTGGGTCTCGGAATGCGCGGTCACACGGAGCCCGGATTATAGAGTCGTAGCTCTGGGAATGTTGGAAAACCCGGCGAGCCGGTTAAAACATAGAGAAACTCGAAGAAACCTGGATTGGAGAGCTCGAACCTAACGCTCTCTCCTCCTGGAAAGAACTCTCACTGGACCTGACTTCCCCGCAGAGAGGTCTCTGGAGGAAGTATCATATTTTAAATACAGAAGACACCAGTTCCGTATGTATCTTTCAACCATGAGGTGAGGAAAAGGCCGTGAGGGATCTGAACGTGAACATCCACAAAGAACAGAAGAGCTAGGACAGCTCATAATGGTTTCATCCATTTTATCCCTTGGTTCAGCAAAGTATCACCCCCCCCCTAATTTTTTATCCTTTGTTCTCCAGGTTTTTTTTCTTTTCTTTTTCTTTTTTTTTTTTTTTTAGGATTAACGCTTGTTTTCCTCTCCAAAGTACCCATTTATCTTTCTAGATCTCATCTCACCATCGGATATTACCAAATCTTGCTTTTTATTATCTAAAAGTCCTATTTTGTACTTCTTCAACCCACCATTCTTTTTTCTAACGACTGTAACTTCTGTCTTTCCTTATCTGTCATTCATCTGTTATTGCCCAGCGCACTACTACATAGTAGACATTCAGGCAATGTTTACCCGAACCCTCCCACCCACCTCTTGCTTGTGAAACAAACACTTCATGACCTCTTCCCTAAAATTTCCACCTCTTTCCACAGCAAACAGAAATTTAATTCTCAAAGCTCCCCATTCTTAGCCCCTCTTACGTCCTTCTTGTGTCCTTGACCATCTTAGCTCTGCAGTTTTATCTTTTCTTTCTTCCCTTATCCTGAGGCATCCTTCAACAGTGCCATTCAAGATAAGTGTGTGACTTGGGGATAGAGCCAAGTCATAAAACCCCTTTACTCTTCATCTACACACACACACAGCTGAGGAAGAAGAATCTCCCTTTGGTCCACCAAAATTCAACTTGTTCCAGTATAGTGCAGGACATAATTGATCCCTGGGGATAAGACATTTCCAGTCTTTACTGGACGACATTACAAATGAGGAATCAACTACTTAGCAGGCAGAGAAAGAGTATGGCTCGGTGTTTTAGACTTGGAAGTGACTTAATTAAGGGTTAACATTCAAGTAGTCATCATTTACTGAAGAACGTGACTCTATCATTGGAGATGACAGGACTGCAAAAATAGGGAACAAAGGAAAATAAACACTCCTACAGCGAACCTCAATTTTTAGCCGAAGTTATCAAGCCTGGAAGAATCACCAAAAATTTTCAAGTGACTGATATCCTGTACACTCAAAGATTCTTAAGTTTTGACTTCCTATTCCTCTAGACCAGGGATTGGAAAATTATGGGTCACACGCTCACTGCCTGTTTTGGTATGTCCCATGAGCTAAGAGTATTTTTTTTTTTTTTTTTTTACATTTTTAAATGGGTGAAAAACAATCAAAAGAATATTTTGTGTTGTGAGAATTAATATGAAATTCAAATTTCAGTGTCCACAAATAGAGTTTTAAGGGCTCATAGCCAGTCATCATTTATGTATTACCTATGGATCCATCTGCACTGTAACAGCAGAGCTGAATAGATGTTAACAGAGACTGTAGGACCAGGAAAGCCTAAAATATTTGCTATCTGGCCCTTTACAGAAAAAGTGTGCTGATCTGTGCTCCAAACTGTCCAGTAGAACTTTCTGCAATGATGGAAATGTTCTATATTTATGCCCTCCAGTTTAGAAGCCACAAGCCCCATGTGACTGTTTGGGCCCTTGAAATATGGTTAATGTGACTGAAGAACTGAAATCTTAATTTTATTTAAATAACCACATGTGACTAATGGCTACCATATTAAACAGTACAGCTCTAGACTCTTGTCAAATCTTATGTACCAACATTTTTTTTGCCCCTTGTGCCAACATCTTATTCCCTTACTATGTCACAACTTCATATGGATTCTCAGTCCCTCCCATCCACCCCCCATCGCCCTATTTATCTGACTCCAAACTAGGATGCCACACTTACTAGGTTTTCTTTCTGGGCTCTCCATTGTCACAACTGAAATCTGAAATCTGATCAGTTTACCAAGTTTCACCCCATGAATTAATCCACATTATGTACACACATATAAATGGACAGACATTTACACAAGTTTCTTTGTGTCAGATGGAACTGTGGCTATGGTCTTTCTTCTCTGCATGAGAGAAGTAGAAAAGCCTTCCACATGCTGGATCCCTTGCTGCTGGTGTCTGTGATATGGATCACCTCCCTCCAAACACATTCACAGAAGCTGAGAACAGCAGATGTGTACTTGCTATTTGAATCTCAAGGAAAAAAAAAAATCCTTCATCACAGGACTTTCTTTCCTCCCCCTAGGCCTAATAAACTGAAGTTAGTTGATTTCTCTAGTTTAATAGATGCTTGCTTTTTTTACTGGTCTTTTTTAGCTGGGCAAGAGAACAACCCCAACACTGTCTCAATCTTGGCTAGGAGTTCTAGCAAAATCATTAAAAAAAATTTACCAAATAAATGAAATCCATATAAATGGGCTTTAGTATAGACAGCAGTTAAAATCGAAAGAGATTAAGGGTTATAACTCATAAAAACCTTAACTTTGTAATTTTTGTAAAAATAATCTTCAAAGTCTAAGTTTTTCACAGCTACTCCCTAGGAAAAAATGGGTTTCTGTACACTTCCAGATTGAAAAAAGGGGACACCTAGTTCTTTCTCTAGATTAGCTATACCAAGCAAAAAAAAAAAAAACCCCTTACTCCAATCCAAACATCTGACTGGAAAGTCAAAGCCTCCTAAGTCCTGACAGAGAAAGTATCTTGTTTCATGTATCTCCCACTCTGAGCTTACATAATTGAGACAGGACCCTGTCTAGAAAAGCAAAAACAAAAAACACTAAACCCTTCAGGTACTATACACATTGAGAGCCACTGAACCCAACCATCCAAAAGGGGGCGTAGATATTTAGGCTGCAAAAGAAAACCAGCTCAGAAATGTGAAACTTCCCTCAGGCCAAGCTGTCCCAGAGTTAACAGGGTCAGTGCAAAGTGTTGTAAAGCACTGAAAGGCAATTCCTGGGCGAGTTTGTACTCAGGATGCTAAGAATTTCCACTAGGCTTTAAATTATGCTATTCATCACTGAGCAACTGACGGCCATCTACCCCCAAGTCTCTCCCACACTTCCTCCCGAGTGTCCCACAAATAAAAGAGAGACTTTACACCACCAACCACCACGTGAACTAAAAGGCTTTCACAGTCTAACCATGAAAAGAAGTTTCCAAGTGACTCTGCCATTTACTCATGTGGCACCAGCTGCATATTTTGGATGCTGAGGTGGGTTCTTGTAAATCTGTAATGTTCTTGTAAACTTTCTTATCACAGCACACAAAATGGTTGCATAACCTGAACTCTTGCAGCTCCTGATGTTTTTCTTTAGGTGTACACACACAATCTACCCAGGTGAAAAAAAATCAATCCAGACTCCTCTGTGCTTGAGCTGTCATTCACATAAAAAGGCAGGTAACTTTTTGTGGTTGTTGTTTCCTGGGTCCTTCACCTCCTGCCTTTTGGTTTTATTTTGGTACTCAGAAAACGAGACAATTCCAGTGCAGAATTCAAGATATTACTGCTTGGTAAACTATTAACACAGTGTGGCTTCATTAATAATACTAGGATCTTCAGGAGACCAGAATGAGACTTTTTTTTTTCCCTCTAAAGAAGTACCATTAGCTGTCCTTTCCATTTTCTCTACAGAAGTTGAGCAGGAAAAGAAAGAGAATACTGCATATTGGCATTACCAGAACAAGAATCGGGTAGGTTTTCCCTGGGAATCCAAAGTGATCAGGCCCCCACAAAACCAGTGCCTAGAGCTATGCAACAAGCAGAGTTCACAGTTGAGTGAACATCAATGCATATGAGTGGAGGCATTTCAATGCAAATACATGCTGAATATGAAGGATTAAAGAAAGGGGAAATTAATCTTTTTCATAACACAGGGCACTTTTTTTTTCTCTCCTGCGTGCTCTCTTTTTTAAGTCATGCACACAACTGCTGGAGGGAATCCAACTTCCCTAGTGTGGTGGTGGTGCTTTATAAAAAGCAGAACATACACATTTAAGACCATGAATTTCCTGAGGATGCCAGCAACTGAGATTCTGACAGCTCTGCTGAACAGACTCAGAAAAAAAGTGTTTCACTAAGTAGGGCCAGACTGATGAGTAAAAAATCTCATTTCAAATCAACCTATTTTTTCAAAGCTCACAGCTTCCTGAGGTGTGATGGTTTAAAAGGTTGGGTTTCAGCATTTGGGGGTATATGAATACATTTACTGAAGGGACTTTATTTTTTAGTTTGCTTCTAATTGTCCCATCTAAGTGATGCTTTTGCAATACCCACAAAATAAATAGGGCAGTTTCATGTTGCTTGAGCAAGTAGCTCTATCTTCTCCCAGTCTGATCTTCTTATGTCCTAACATCTCAAACCAAAGAACAAAGTGGCAGCACCTTTTTAGGTTATCACTTAAAAAAAAAAAAAAAAAAATCTGCCAATGAAGGTTATTCAGCTTTTGAAGACTGTTCACTTCAAGACATGTTGGACTAGAGCAAAAAACTTGTTAAAACCCTTTCTGTCCCATCACAGGTATGCATTAAACATAGGATTCCTCAAACACCTTAATACTCTAACCAGACTATTACTTTGAAAAGAAACTTTAAAATTCAAGTGGTCTCTCAAAAAATTGTTAACCTTTGCTAAGAAAGTTCCCAATCTCAAATCCAAGCTTCAGAAAGGAAAGTAATTTCCAACTTGTTCTTTTCTGATACCATTTTGAGAAAAATGTCAAAGACCTAGAATTTTTAAAATAGCATTTTATAAATAATGTATTCAAAGATTTTGACCTACTACATAAAGTAAGAATCCCACTCTTTAAGAAAAATATACAGATTTAGGTAAGAGTCTAAATTCTCAAAGATTCAAGCCTGATGCCAAGCCTTTACATTTCTAATGCTTCAATTCCAAAGGACCAGTGGATAGCAATTTTAGTACACAAAACTCCACTATGCTGTATAGCTCCTTTTCTCCTGGGTCAGACAGCTTTATTCTGCTTCATTAACCCCTTCTTTGCTCCTTGATGGATCTTGGAATCCAGTTTCCCTGTAAAGGAGAAAAAGAAGCCTCATTATTTATTTTTTATATTTGCAATGCAAATCTTTCCTGGCCTCCCAGGTCTTCTGGTTCCTGTTTTCCTGTCACATTCAATTATCTTGCTTCAGGACTTAGACACTTTCAAACTTCAGAGTTTCATTCTGTAAGAATGAGGAAGCAGTGGGAACACTGTTTAAGGACACACAAATGTGGAGACACACACACACACACACACACACACACACGATGAGTATTCATTCGCCTAAAGAATCTAAATCATTAATATTTCTAATTTTGTAGCTAGAAGAAAAGAAACAACACGTTTTTCAGGAGGTCTCATGCTAAGGCAAGTTTGAAAAGAATACACATATATAATAAAGGAAGGCATTTCACACAGTGGGAAACTCATTCCTCTGACCTGTTAACTGGCTGAGCATAATGCATGAACCTCCCTCGCAGTGAGAAAAGCAGTTCAGTTCACCCCTTTGCTGCCTCAGACTTAATAGGGGGAGTGACCTGAAACAGTGGAGTAGAATCCACATGAATGGTTTACTGACAAAGGGCCCCTATCACCAGCTAAGAAGGGCAAAGGTCATAGGCTGTATGACTCTTCTAAGTGTTAAAGTTAGAAAACAAGCAACCTTCCTGTCCCAGGTGACCCTAATGAGAGGTACTTTACTGATGTGGTCCCTGACCTCTGACTCCTCAGATCTACCAGGACGGTTTGGTTCAGTGGTAGCAGCCTTAGGAGCCATCCATCTGATGCATGAAAACAATCTTAACAAAGTTCCTGTCTGTCTTACACATTGATTTCTCCCACAAAGAGTCTCACTTAAGTCAATAGTGATACTGGCACTGAACTGAAACAGAAACAGGTCAGTTTAGCCTCAGCATTACAAAAAAAAAAAAAAAAAAAAAAAGATTAACAAACAAGGAGCTTCCCTTTAAGGCAAGCCAGGTGTACTACAGCCCACACCCATAACTGCCCCCCCCCACATGCTGTCATTTTCATTTGTTATAGTAATCAGGTGTACAAGAAAGAGCAATGGAATAGAAGTCAGGAGACTTGGGTGCTAGTCCATCCCTCTGTGTTATTAACTAGCTGTAAAACCTGGGGCAAGTCATTTAGTCTCTCTAGACTTTAATACTCTCACTTGTCCAACTAAGAATACATGTCTTGACTACTGCAAAAGATTGTGAGAAAATAACCTCAGGGCGCCTGGGTGACTTAATTTCAGCTCAGGTCATGATCCCAGGGTCGTGGAATTGAGCCTCTTATTGAGCACCACCTACACGGAGCATGGAACCTGCTTAACACTCTCATTCTCTCTCTCTCTTGCTCTCTCTCTCTCTCTCTCTCTCTCTCCCCCTCTGCCCATCTCCCCCCACTCATGCTCTCTCTCTCTCAAATAAAATTAAAAAAAAAATTAAAAATAACGTCATCCTAGTTTCCCTTTTTAAGTTTTCTTAAGTTTTGTCTTCTTTTTCTCCTCATCTCTCTACGGGTATACCATCGTCTCTGGAATAACATTACTTCTTTTTCTGGGCTTCCTCAGAAACCATCAGTAAGCAATACCCTGAATGCTATCCACTAGCATTGTCACAATGCTGTTGATTTTAATTTGGGCTTTACAGCACAGAGTATTCCCAGGGATTTAGGAGTCTTTCATCCCCCAGGCTGCCCAGCTGGAAATCTGAAAATGTGCCAGCAATCTGGCAAAAAGCCCTACTACAAGGCAAGTTTGCCTTTATATTCCTAACGCTACCATAGTGAGCATCAAATGGTAGGTGCTCGGTAAATGTGTTCATCAAATGAATTAAACAAAGATGGCAAGGCAGACATTACAAATTCGAAAACCTTTGCACTGTAGGGACTAAGTAACCAAAATTAGCAGATATCAGATAAACACTAAGAGTATCCATTGAAAAGGTGGTGGTACCAGAAGCATAAGGAAGTACTGCCTCTCACTCAACTTTTTAGGACAAGCTAGGACAGAATTCAGAAACCCACTTAGGACTTCACACTTCTAGTTCTCTAGTCCCTGAGACTACCTAGCTGTATGTGAGGAAGTCACCTAGTCACTCTTGTTCTCAGCTTTTTCTATGCCAAGAGGAAATTGGACTATGTTGTACAGGAGGATTCTTCCAGCTCTATGATATTGTGCCCTAAAAATGAAATGTGATTAGAATAATTTGTTTCTGAGGCAATCTGATAAAGTGCAAAGAGCAGGAAAATCAGAGACAGAAAGATGTGAGCAAAATACAACTTCTTTTTTTTTTTTTTTTTTTTTTAAAAAATTTTTTTTTTTTTTTTTGGGATAGAGAGAGACAGAGCATGAACAGGGGAGGGGCAGAGAGAGAGGGAGACACAGAATCGGAAACAGGCTCCAGGCTCCGAGCCATCAGCCCAGAGCCCGACGCGGGGCTCGAACTCCCGGACCGCGAGATCGTGACCTGGCTGAAGTCGGACGCTTAACCGACTGCGCCACCCAGGCGCCCCAAAATACAACTTCTATAAACCTATTTACTCAACTGAAAAGTGAAAGTAGTAAAAAATTCCTAACTTACAAAGTTATTGAGAGAATTACAGCTAACATTAAGTGCTTTCTAAATACAAAGCACTATGCTGTTTTTTAATATACATTAAGTCATTTAATCCAATAACTGAAATACTATATGTTAAAATGCTTCATAAACTCAAAATTCTCTGAAAAAGTAAGGGTAGTCATATTTATGCTGAGGCTTGGGAGTATGTTTCTTACTTATGGTCTCAGTTTACCTTACAACTCTAAGCAAGTCTATTAACTATATGTATTTCAGATTCCTCTTGTAAAAAAAAGAGCCATTACCTTCTTGACACCCTCAAAGCTTTACTGTCTAAGAACATTCCAAGTATGATCTTTGGAAAACTCCAATCTGATTGTGAAAGCCCTCAAGTGAGACCAGCTCAGCTAAGATCAACCCTATGAAGCAAAGCCCTCAATGGATAGGCAAACTAATCCCTGGCTTCAGGGATGATGTCATAAAATGGAAAATAGGAGGAAGGAGATATAAAGGAAGTAGGACTTCTGGAGCATTCCCAGGGATTCAGAAATTCTTTCATCCCCTAGACTGCCTAAGAAAACTATACATGTGCCAGCAATCTGTAAGCTCCTTATAAGTAAGGACTTCTTTACATCCCTAACATCTACCACAGGGACTGCCAACAGTGGCCAGCTTAGGCCAGTTGCAGGCAATAAAGGCAAGGGACTGGGGCCTCTTGCACGAAGAAGCAGTCATCACAGTTCCCCTAAGATGGCAGGAATTTTGAACTAGTTCTAGTTCAGCCTCATCTTTCAAGACTTGGGATCTGGACAGTTAACTACAGTTACATACAGTACACTCTTTTAAAAGCAGAGTGGTAATGCTTAATTTATGTATTTCTCCAATATTTTTACATTTAATACCTACAGCATCTCAGTGTTAACCACATCCTCAATCATGGTGCCTAAGGAAAATCAAATGCATGGGCAGCAAATGGACAATAAGTTAAAAGGGGAAAGAGTATTTGTCATCAATTGATATAACTCTCCTAGGGATTTCCACATGCTTTGCATAACATATAAGGCAGTACTTAAATGCATTTATAGAGCAAGTAGTTCATTTAATGTAAAAAGATTTCCTTTGTCTCTTTGAGCATTTAACCTACTCTATTATACTGTTTTGCATTTCCTAATTTGAACAGACACACAGCCAAATGATATCATATTACACACTGTACTTTTCTGAATGATTTCAAGAAACGGAATTATCCCCAGGTCAAGCAAGCTCAAGTTTATGTGTCCAAAAGCATAAACCAAAATATATGCCTTTACTTCCAGTTATGGAGTGAATAAGTCATGGGAATAAAAGGTACAGCATAGAGAACATAGTCAATGATATCATATTAGTATTATATGGTGACAGATGGTAGCCACACTTGTGATGAGCAGAGCATAATGTATAGGGATGTTGAATCACTATGTTGTAAACTTGAAATTAATGTAACATTGTTGGTCAACTATAGTCAAAAAACTAAAAAATGTATACATACCTTTAAATTTAAGGCATACACACACACACACACACACACACACACACACACACACACACACACACACACACACACACAGGGTACAGCAGGTAAATAGGTTGTATTCTAAAAGCTTATTTGCAAGTCAGAGTTTGGAACTTGGAACATGTCTCATAGAACTAATCTATAAAAGATTCCTAAGCCATCCTACAAAACAAAAACAAGAACAAAAACATTTAAGCCAAAGCACTATACTTGAAGGAGAGTATTATTAATATTATGGACCTTTACCATTTAGTGGAACAATATAGCTAGAAGAAAATGTGAAGCATTACAGATTAACAGCCAACTATGTATTTTCCCCTGTGGCAGTGAGAGTAAAGACTTTTTTCCAGCTGTAAGCTACTGAAGGTGGCTCCTTTGGACTACAAGAAGAAAGTTCTGGCAGAGTCTAAGATTTTAAGAGATGGTAAAGAGGAATGAAGGATGAAGGAATGAAGAGTTACAGGGAATAGAAACTTCACACCAAACTATATCCTCAGGTAGGATGGTTCCCTTTCAATAGAATTTTTTTTTCCAGGGTGCCTGGCTGGCTCAGTCGGTAGTACATATGACCCTTAATGTCACGGTCACGAGTTCAAGCCCCACGTTGGGTGTGGAACCTAAAGAATTTTTTTTTTTTCTGATGCACAAAGGGATTGGTCACCCATTCTTTCATTTTTTCTCTTTAAATTTCGCTTATTTCTGACTGATGTTTGTTTCACTTTGGCCTAACAAGGAAGAAGCTGCGGTCTCACAATTTCTACCTGAAACAAACAGCCCATTTGGCTTTTTAAAGCTTTTAACTACAATCGGGAAAGGACAGAAGGTTACTAAAGCTTTCCTCTAAGAGCATCATTCCTCCCCACCCCTCTACCCCCCACCCCCATTAAACCTTATTGAGAAAAACAGAGGCCATATATGTAGTGAAAGTAGGTCTCTGGGTAGAGAAAGTACTGGAGTAAAACATTTCACAGAAATATCTAAACTGTTTACAGAGAACATTTTCTCACAGATTAAGCAGCAGGTAAAAACCAAGATAGGGGAGGAAGCTAAGAAAAGGTTATGGGGACTAAAGATCAAGTAGCACTGGGTATGGGAGAAAAGACCTAAAATGTTTTCCTGCTACCACCAGTGCTGTTATCAGTGCCTAGAATAAGGTGAGAATGGAACAGGGAGGGATAGAATGCCACAACCAAAAAAGAGGGACAAGAGAAAGATTTAAATACTAAATAGCGGAAGAGTGCCTGGCTGGCTCAGTAGGTAGAGCATGTGACTCTTGATCTTGGGGTTGTGAGTTCAAGCCCCACTTTGAGTCTACAGATTACTTAAAAATAAAATCTTGGGGCACCTGGGTGGCTCAGAATGTTAAACATCCGACTCTTGATTTCAGCTGATGTCATGATCTCACAGTTTGTGGGATCAAGCTCCAAGTTGGCCTCTGTGCTGACAGTGCTGAGCCTGCTTGGGAGTCTCTCTTTCCCTCTCTCTCTGTCCCTCCCCAGCTTGCACTGGCTCATGCTCATTCTCTCTCTCTCTCTCTCTCAAAATAAACTTTATGGGGCGCCTGGGTGGCTCAGTCGGTTGAGCATTTGACTTCAGCTCAGGTCATGATCTCACGGTTCGTGAGTTCAAGCCCCACGTCGGGCTCTGTGCTGACAGCTCAGAGATTGGAGCCTGCTTCAGATTCTGTTTCTCCCTCTCTCTGCCACTCCCCTGCTCACTCTCTATCAAAACTAAACATTAAAAAAAATTAAAAATAAACTTTAAAAAAATAAATAAAATCTTTAGAAAATAATGATGAGATCGATCAATCAATCAATCCTAAATAGTGGAGAGGAAGAAAAAAGTTTCCAGGGCCACTTGGCAACCAGCTGGGATAGTCTGAGTTGAATAATATGTAGAAGTCAAGGGCAACTTATGTTCAGATTTTCTGATATATAGGAATCTAAGGAACATATGTCTCATAAATCATAAGAGTTGCCTGAATTTTGTGATGAATATACATTAATCTAAATTCACAGTCCAAGCATCTTATTTTGTGATCGTAAGCAGTATTACTCAAAGTGTAGTCAGCTGAGCAACAGCATCAGTATCACTTGGAAGAAGGCCCAGGAACCTATGTTTTAACAGCTCTCTAGGTGATTTTTATTTGCAGTACAGTTTGAGAAGTACTTCTCTATAGAACAGATTTATCAAATGGCTAGTTGGTCCCCCAGGTACAGTGTGAGGTAGAATTGTGCACAACCTAAGACAATGCATGCCCCCAAATTATCCAGTTCACAGAATGGGAAAGCAGTGTCACAGAGGCACAAAATAGTAACTGATGTGAGCAAATGGGACAGTTTCTGAGGTTGTTTTTATTTATTTTATTTTATTTTATTTTTTAATGTTTGAGAGAGCGTGCATGAAAGTGGGGGAGGGGCAAACAGAGTGGGGAGGGAGAGAATGTGAAGCAGGCTCATCACTGTCAGCACAGAGCCTTAGTCGGGGCTACATGCCATGAACTGCATTTGCATTATGAGATCATGACCTGAGCTGAAATTAAGAGTCAAGACACTTAACCAACTGAGCCACCCAGGCGCCCCAAGGTTGTTTTTAAAAATAAGTTAGGCAGAAAGACTACCACTATGTATTTCCTGAGATAGCTTTGAAACAGAAGAGGCTGAGGTAGGACAAGACAGAGGAAGAGAAGTTAGTAGTAGTAGAAGAGTTAGATATTGAAAAAGTAAAGTCAACAAAAAGTGATTAAGAAGTGAATATGCAAGGATGCCTGGGTGGCTCAGTTGGTTGAGCGTCCAACTCTTGGTTTCAGCTCAGGTCACCATCTCAAGTTTTGTGAGTTTAAGCCCCACATCGGGCTCTATGCTGGCAGTGTGGAGCCTGCTTGGGATTCTCTGTCTCCCTCTCTCTATGCCCCTCCCTCACTCTCGCTGTCTCTGTCTCTCTCAGGATAAATAAACTTCTAAAAATAAAATAAAAAGAAGTGAATATGCAGGAATTCAAAGAGGGTACTATAATCATAAATACATAAAGCAAAAGTTACAGAAAAAATAAATCATCGAGAGGTTTCAAAGAGAGGGCTAGGTTAGAGCTTTAGGAACCAGTAATCAAGGGCAAACTGGGAAGTGGAGCCTCCAAAACACTCAAAAAATAGACACACAAACTTCAGTCTTATTCTTGGATTGAAGACTGAAGAACAATGAATAAAGGTCATTATTGCCATTGGCATTGGCTTACTACTTCCTTTAATGAGCAGTGCAGCAGAGCAGAGCATACTCTTTTGGCTGACAAATGAGGATTTTAAATGTAATGGGATCTTAAATGCAAGTTTAGAGTGATTCACTAGCATACCATTAACTGTGGATCAACGTACACTTTGGTAAGGCTATATTGTAGTTAACTTAACATTAAAGTTATCACTAAATATAATCATATTAACCCTCCAATACTTGACATGCCATAAAACAGAGGAAGAAGAGATTTTTAAAAAGTTGAGCAAGTGAGACACAAGACACAAAGAAAAGAAAATTAGACCATCAAAGTTTGTGACTTACAGATTTTTGGATTTCCTTTAATAGGAAACTTCACAATCATTTCCTGGGGATTTGTGCAGATGAAAACAAATGGAGAATCAGATTCTTGACTCATGTCTGGATACTGTGAAATATAAAAATAACAAGTTCAGACTAGTTGGGACAAATTTTGAATTTCAAGGAGATTAAAGGATGTCCCAGATTTCACCTCAACATTCTGATGATAGCACTCTCCATTTCAGTCAGGTAAAGAGGATTATGCTTAGCAAGCAAGAACAAACCTTCACCTTTCCCCAGGCCTTAGCACAGTGGTCTTATGCAATCTATTGCCTGCCATTTCTGACTTCCTCTAATGGGAACTTCTTTAAAAAAGAATACCTGATATCTTCCCAGAAGAAACAAAACTGACTGTTCTTTTTCTTTTTTTAAGTTTATTTATTTAAGTAATCTCTACATACAACGTGGGGCTCGAACCCACAAACCTGAGATCAAGAAAAAACTGACTGTTCTTTTAACATAAGTGACTGAGAGTTGGGAGAGTCACAGGTCTCCTTCTGGAACATCGGGCACCCCCTAGGTTAACTCAAGTAAAACACTGGAAGATTTAAGAAAAATAGAACATTTGTGGAAATTCTGCAAGAAATAATCAACAGAGCCCTTCTTTCACTAAAAGGAAGGAAGATGATTCATTCTGAAAGGTATGAACATGCAAAAGCTGTTTTGCTGGATGCATTCCAGACTTACTTAGGGTGAAAAGGTAACTGGTAGAGCAATTCTGAAAATTATTTAGAAGCCTCCTTTGGATCTCTCATCACAAATCTGTGTGAATACTTAGGACTTGTATTCCTTCTGCAAAGACAGACACAGAACCTGGAGTAAGACTATGCTGGCCACATAATTACAATTTAAGGAACAACTGAGGGTTGGCAGAAAGTGCTCTCTAGCAATGCCCAACTGATTTGTTGTTTCATTATTTCCTACCTTGGGATGTCTTGTATTTAGCATGTTTGACAAATATGACTCATAGGCTGACTACAACTATGGGTCAGACTTCATTCCCAGAGGAGCCTTTCTCCTAGTAGCTACCATCCTAGGTACGCACTTATTTTCCTCTCTTAGTCACCTGCTAAGATATACCCTCTAAAGACCTAAGGCTCTAAAGTAGAAATGGAGGTTTCAGTAAAATAAGAAAATTCTAATTTCTCTGTAACTAGTGGAAGCATAAACAGTTAAAACTTCTTTATTGACCACTTGACCACTCTGTCTTAGGTGGTAGGTAACGCTATGGAGAAAACAGAGGAATTTTAGCAGCTTTTGGTCCTGCCCACATACCATGGCTTTCAGTGTGGGACAGGTGTGGCATGTACTTTGATAAAACATAGCTTAATATCAAGCATCAGACACAATTATATTCTGAGGCAGGATCAAAATGTTCATGACAGAAAAGAAAGACTGAAGATGAGAAGGAAAATCCTCTTCTTTCCTTATCCCCTGGATCTTTAGAACTCAAAGAAAAGCAGGTTCCAGCTGTTACTGCTGAGGTGCTTTGGCACGAATAAAACCAGAGGCTGCCATCAAGATCTTTCAACCTAATTCTACAGAGGGCAAAACAGCAGCAGTCACAATTTCCATCTCCAATTTTCTTCCTCTCCCCTCTGTGTCTTAGAGTATTGAGGCAGAGGACAGGCTGCCAGGACCTCATGGCTCTGCTTTTCTGGAACTACAAGCTATTTCAGTCATCCTCTCCTCTTTTTCCTGCATCAATAAATGTTCCCTCTCTACTGAACCAATCCCATTAACAAACATAACTTCTGTAATGTCTGCCATAAAGCAAAAACTCTCCAGATCTCGCATTCTCAAGCTACTGCCCCATTTCTGATTCTCTTTACAACAAAATTCATTAAGAGATTGTGCTCTCTGCTTCAAATTCGTCTGTTTTTTTCTTGAATTCACTATAAACAGACTTTCACTCCCATCACTCCACCAAAATCATTCTTCATCAACTAAAGGTCATTGTTCACTTCCATGTTACTAAATCAAATGGTCACTTTTTCAGTTCTCATCTTAATTGATCTATTTGTAGAATCTGACAGAATTCTTCTCTCCCCCCTTCTTGAACACATTTCTCACTTGGCTTCCAGGATATCATTCTCTTCCTGGTTTTGCTATTTTACTGATTGCTCATTTCCCCATCCTTTAAATGTTGGGAGTGCTTCAGGGGTCAGGCCTCAGACCTCTTCTCTCTCTACATTCACAACCTTGGGGATTTCCTTCAATCTCAAGAGTTAAAAAATAAGGTCCTGAATTTCTAACTACGAGAGGTGATGGATGTTAATTAAATTTATTGTGGTAATCATTTTGCAACATATATATGTATCAAATCCTTCTGCTGTACACCCTACACTAATACAATGTTATGTGTCAATTATATCTCAATAAAACTGGGGAAAAAATGAGGTCCTGAAAGTAAAAACCTAAACCACAATGAGACACTAGTTCATGCTCAAGAAATGACTACAATAAAACAAAATAAAACAAAAACAAAAAACATGGAAAATAACAAGTGCTACTAAGGATGTGAAAGAATTAGAACCCTCATGCATTGCTGGTGTGAATGTAAAATGGTGCAGCTGGAGTGGGAAACAGTGTGGTGGTTCTTCAAAGAATTAAAGCAATTCCACTTACGTGTATATACCCAAAAGAATTCAAAGTAGGGACTCACATACTTGTGTACCAACATTCATAGCACCATGATTCACAATACCCAATAGTATCCACAATCCAAATGTTCATCAGCAGATGAACAAAATATCGTACATATGTACAGTGGAATATTATTCAGTCTTAAAAAAGAATCGAATTCTGATATATGCTACAACATGGATGAATCTTGAAATACTATCCTAAGCGAAATAAATCATGCAAAAGGACAAATATTGCATGATTCTACCTATATTAGGTACTTAGGATAAGCAAATTCATAGAGAAAAAATAGAGGTTACCAGGGGGTGGGGGGAGGAGAAACAAGGAGTTATTATTTAATGAGTACAGAGTTTCTGTTTGAGATGATGAAAAAATTCTGGTGGATAATGGTGATGGGTTGTACAACACTGTAAAAGTACTTAATGCCACTGAATTGTATACCTAAAAATGGTTAAAATGGTAAGTTGCAGGTTATATATTTTATCACAATACAAACAAAATTTTAAAAAGATCGATCAAGATCCTGAATTCTTTTCTAAACCTGCTCCTGTCTTATCCATACCCCCTTTAAAATGAGTGAATGATCCCATCTTTCCAGTGGTTCAGGCCAAAACCCCCACAATCAACCCACTGAGAAATCCTGTTAACTCTACCTTCAAAGGATGTCCAATACCTCACCATTTCCTAAAACCTCTATAGCTACTCCCTGATCCAAGCCATCATAATGTTTCCTTGGATTACTACAATAATCTAATTGGTCTGTTTCTGCCCTTAACCTCTTTCTTTTCTATTTTTAACACAGCAGTCAGAACTATTTAAAAAAATATATCAGATCATGTCACTCCTCTGCTTAAAACTCTCCAGTGGCTTTTCATCTCATTCAGAATAAAAGCCTAAATCCTTACTGTGACCTTCAGGTCCCTAGACAATCTGGCCCCCCATTTTCTTTCTTTCTTTCTTTTTTTTTTTTTAATTTTTAATGTTTATTTATTTCTGAGAGAGACAGAGTGTGAGCAGGGGAGGGGCAGAGAGAGAGGGAGACAGAATCCAAAGCACACTCCAGGCTCCGAGCTGTCAGCACAGAGCCAGACGTGAGGCTTGAACTCACAGACCGCAAGATGCTGACCTGACCTGAGCTGAAGCTGGACGCTTAACCGACTAAGCCACCCAGGTGCCCGTGGCCCATTTTCTGACACGTTTTTCTACTACTTTCACCCCAACTTTCACTCCACTGTAGCCACAATGGCTTGTTGTTCCTGTCTCTGGGTCTTTCCACTTGCCTAGTCCCTCTTCCTGGAATGCTCTACCCCCTAGCCCAGATATCCACCTAGCTTCTTCTCTCTTTCTTCAGAACTTTATTTAAATGTCAACTTTGCAGTAAGTTTTCCCTCATCATTCTATTTAAAATCGGAGCACCAAACTCCTCACAAACTTGACACTCTCAACCCCTCTCTCCTTTTTTTTTTCTTACAGCACTTACCATCATCTGATACTACATAACTTTACTTATTTAAATTTTTAAAAGATTTTATTTTTAAGTCATCTCTACACCCAACATGGGCCTTAAATTCATAACCTATAAGCTTCCAACTTCGGCTCAGGTCATGATCTCACAACTTGCGTGCTCAAGCCCTGCGCCAAGCTCTGTGCTGCCAGGTCAGAGCTTGGAGCTTGCTTTGGATTCTGCTTTCCTCTCTCTCTGCCCCTCACCCACTTGTACTCTCTCGCTCTCAAAAATAAACATTAAAAAATTTTTTTTTTTTAAATTCACAACCTAGAGATCAAGAGTTGCGTGTTCTACCAACTGAGCCAGTCAAGTGCCCCTAAAAATTTAAATATGGCTTCCCTTTACTAGGATGACAGCTCCATGAAGGCAAGGATTTTTGTCTGTTTTGTTTATTCCTAAGCACTTTGAATCATGCCTGACACACAGTAGGCAACCAATAATTATTTGTTGAATTTGGGGCATTTGGGTGGCTCAATTGGTTAAGTGTCCAACTCTTGATCTCAGCTCAGGTCGTGATCTCAGGGTCATGGGTTCAAGCCCCATGTTGGGTTCTATGCTGACAGCTCAGAGCCTGGAGCCTGCTTCAGATTCTGTGTCTCCCTCTCTCTCTGCCTCTCCCCCACTCACACTCTGTCTCTCAAAAATGAATAAATGTTAAAAAAAATTAAATTTTTTGTTGTTATTGAATTAAAGAACAATGAATTTGTCAACTTGTGCATTAAGGTTATCTTTTTTTAATTTTTTTTTTTAACATTTATTTTTGAGACAGAGAGAGACAGAGCATGAACAGGGGGAGGGTCAGAGAGAGAGGGAGACACAGAATCTGAAACAGGCTCCAGGCTCTGAGCTGTCAGCACAGAGCCTGACACTGGGCTCCAACCCACGGACCACCGGATCATGACCTGAGCCGAAGT